CGTAATATTTGGAATAGGTTATTTCCAGTTTTAAATTGTGAATCTCCTCCTCTATAACCCCATTTATTATCTCTGCTCGTTACTCCTTTCATTTTGCCACCTTGTTTGAATTTTGAAACTACCATCCATTCCCCGTGGACCCTATATGGCTTTGAAACCACTTCCTAGCTAGGTTTAGTCGTTGCAATTGCCAGTGAAACCTCCATGAAAGCATTCTTAGCACCCTGATCACCCTTACTTGTATCGATTCCAGATGAACTTGCAACAGAACATTGACAAGACATGTGTCCATAATGACCACACTTTGCACAGAGTAAATGTAAATCTCCATACTCAATTTTAAACCAAATATCTCTGAAGATGGATGGAGATGAAGAGAGCATGTGGTATGGGGATGGAGGTGGAGGGAGAGAAGGTGGAGAAATTGGGTATGAGAAGAAGAGATAGGAGGTGGGTATGGGAGTAAGAGTTGTAACATTGTTACTACAATTCAATTATTTTCAATAATAATATATAATATTTTTGAAATAAACTTGATGAAATTTGTAAGGGGTTTAAATTTTGGAAGATTGGGCAAATATACAAATATAAACTAATGAAGGTCAGTAAATTTTAAAATTGTGTCTATATAAAAGTTTCATTCATTTTAAAAATAAATATTCATTTTCTTAACTTAAATTTATAAATAGAATGAAGACAAAAATTTCACATTATATTATATTATATTATATATATATATATATATATATATATTTCAAATTCATGATAAAAACAATCTATTTTTTAGTAATATAAATTTCTAACTAAAACTGGGTATGAATTAAAATTCAAACAGTTAACTATTAAACATTATACATAAACATTGAATCATCATTTACAATAGGGTTCATCAAAATATCATAAGTTCTAAATGGAATCTCAATTAATATGATTACATTCTTCAAAATTAAAAATCCTAATAAAACAATTCTTTCTCATACAATACATGATGAGTATGATCTTAGAACGACATGATGAGTATGATCTTAGAACGGATCAACCTTCTTTATCTTTTCATTTTCATTACCTGAAAAATATTAGTAAAGGTGAATATTTTCCGCCCCACTAACTTTCATTTAATTAAAACAGTTCAAATAATATATATAAAATTCATAAAACAATTCTAATTCAACAAAGAACATTCATGCACACCATTTATCACTTAATCAAATACATTCATTTCTCCTTTATTCAACAAAATCAGTTTCTCACTTAATCAATACAATCATTCAACATCTAAGCTCATGTCACTTTACTCATTTCAATTTTTTATCATTCACCAAATAAGAGTACTCTAGATACTCATGGGCCTCTAAATTGTTGCCAACATACTTTCCTAGTTACTACAGCCAAGGTTCTAATTCTTGTTACCCTATGATAGATAATGAAAAGGAGCCTAGTAACCCATAAGCCTAACTTGGATAGTGCAAACAAAATACTATGGAGAATAATTATATAGCTGAACAAGAAAAATTTGGCCTATGGATATTAGCTAAAAATCCTTTGAGGAAGAAGCATGGAACCCTAGAACTTTAGGAACATCTGCCTATAATGGTAAGGGTAAAGAATTTCCCTTAGGCTCTAGATTTGAGGTTTTAAGTAATTTTGCCCTTGATGAAGGACAAAAATTGCTCCTTGCCCATAACTCCTTAGTTGTTGATCGTAATTTAGATTATAATGAGGGGAAGGGCCATTCTAGAATTCTTAATACTAAGTCCATAAGAAAAGGTTCTTCTGACCCCAATTCCTCCCTCTATCCTAAAAAAAGGTAATAAAACCAAATTCAAGTCTAAAAATGATAAGATAAGGGAGGAAAGGAAGACTAATACTAAAGATGATAATCTTAATCCTAACCTAACTGAGAAGACCTCTCTAGATAATGATAACCAAAATCAAAAGGAAAACTTTCCTTAATGAACAAGTTTCAACAAGAAATCAATAATAATGTTTCTAAAGGAAGTTCCATCCAAAATATAATGGATTTTAGTCTTAATAGCCATTGGATAAATCTTGATAACTCAGTCAATATTCCTACTAACAGACCCCCTAATAGGACCTCTCCTATGGAAATAGATATTGAGGATAACTTGCCTAATAAAGAATTTGTATCCCCTATATTTTTTGAAAATCTAGATTCTAGTTTGATTTGCTCGTAGTATCTTAAAGATACTATTTAATTAGTTTCCATTTCAAATGAAGTCTTTTTAGAATGGTAGGGAGGCTAGGGTAAAACCTTTGCAAGGCTTATTAATGATCTGATAGGCATGTACAATCCGGATTTCTTAGCCTTATTTGAACCTAGAGTCAATTTAGATAGAATTGATCATATCCTAAATACAATTAATCTAAAAGGAATTACAAAAGTAGATGCTATTGAATTCTCATGAGGGATTTAGTGTCTTTAGAATTCCAATAAGATTAAGATCTTTGTTGTTTCTAAATCCAAATACATAATTCACCTGAAAATTTGTAGCTATGATTAGACTAAGTGCTGGAATGAGTGCAAGGATGTGTGTGATCATTTAATTTTTCTAAATCAGTGGTTTTCTTTTTTAGCCTGGGTCTTTTTGATTGGTTAATGCTAAACCTTTCTAATTCATCTCTAAGCCTTTTTGAAAATTGGAAAAGCTTATTTGGTTATGTTATTTGGTTCATATGGAAAAATAGAAATGATTTCATATTCTCAAATCATTATGTCCAAACTAAGGATATTGTCCATAAAGCTCTATATGAGTGATTACTTTCTTTATGGTTGCAGGCTTACTTCTAAAACTCTCCTGATCATGGTCCTTCATCCCAGATGTTTTAAATGATGATAAAAAAAAAGTTGATTGTTGGATTCTACAGCAAAATAGAGCCTTGCTCACCTCTAGTTGCTAAACTTTAGAGCTTTCTCTTAGGCGTTTAATTGGGGTCAATCATGATATTCATAATGTTTGGATTGAAAATGACTTCAAGAAGGTTATTAGTCTTATACTCAGTGGGAATCAGCCTTCTGACCTTTTGTGGTTCCTTATTAGTAGAATTAGGGATCTACTAAAATTTGTTAGGTTCATTAGAATTTTGCATGTTTACAAAGAAACTAATAAGTGTGTTGATCTATTAGCTAAGATTGGTCTTGAGGAACTATCACCTTATATAGATTTTAAGGTTCCCCTTTCTCCCTTCCTCCTTTTCTTAAGCCTGGATGTTGGTGGTGTTTGGCGTTCTAGAATTGTTTCTTGAGTTGTTTTGCTGGGTCTTTTGATCCCATTTAATATTTTTTAAAAAATTATTTCAACGACCTAAAAAAAACAATGTTTTTTAAAAAAGACTTAAAAAAAAAACTTAAGAAATCTACTATTATTGACCAAACGCTTAACTCACATGTACACTCCAAGGTATTCTATACCTTTTTAGATTAAGGGTTGTGATTCTTTTCATATCTTAAAGATTAGAGGGTATTAACGTCTTTTTCAACTAAATCACTAATTTAACTATCTATCAATATAACATGAATTATGACAATTATTCCACATGTAAAAAAAGGTACATGAGATTTTACCTACCTTACCAACAGTAGAACCTATTTTTCTTTGAAAAACAATTTTCTATCTTTTAGCTATTTGGTCCCCTATCTTTTACAAGTGAATTCTCTTTTTAAAATATAACTTTCACTTTCAACTAACTAAAAAATTCAAAATTCTATAAAACAATTTTTTTTATGGAAAAAGATGTTAAATAAAAGCTACTTTTTAATAGTGTTACAAATTTTCAAGACACACATACTGTGTTTTTAAAATTATAATCACAATATATTATGAAAATATCTCAATAACTTCTTAAAAATAAAAAAAGTTAAATTTTAATTTCAATTTTTTTGAGAACTTAAAACAAATAAACTAAATTTTTTCAAACTATTAAAAAGTAATATTTCTTAATATTTATATTTTTACTTCCTTTTATGTCTATCCTCTAAATATCTATAAAATGATTTAGAGGTTCTTATTTCCATAGCAATTTAGAGATTGAATTTTAAATCATCTCTTTCTTCCTAGGTGCACACCTTCCATGACTTCTTTCAACACGTACTTGTACATCTTTTGTAAATTCGTTATTCTGAATAGTTCTTGTACATATTTCATAATTTCCTTATTCTGCGTAACCGTCACTTTTACTTTCTTACCCATACACATCTTTCGTAACTTCCTTATTCCACGTAAACATTGTGTATGCATAATTGTCACTTTGCTTTCTTAACGCGTGCACATTTTCCCTTGCATAACTGCACTTTTTTGTTGAATAACTATCATTTTTTTTTCGTCTTCGATCACGTGTTTTGCTTAAGATGCTTTACACATCTTTTGTAACTTCCTTGTTCTACGTAAAGGTTCTTACATATCTATCACTTTGCATTCTTTGTCGCTTTTTGTCATCTTTGATCATGTGTTTTACTGTGCAACCGAAGATGCTTTGCACATCTTTCACATCTTTCTTACCTTTCTTATTCTGCATAACTATCACTATTTTGACATCTTTGATCTTGTCACTCACTTTTTTGTCATCTTCAATCCTTATCACATGTTATGCTTTACATGTTGTATAACTATCACCTTACTTTTTGTTGTCACTTTAATTTTTTGTCATCTTAAATCTTGTAAATGTCACTTTTTCATCGTCTTTTATCTTGTAACTGTCATTTTTTTGTTATTTTGTATTCTTGTCATGTGTTTTGTTCTACCACAGCTGATAACTATTAATAATCACTTCTAATGAATTCTTATTACGTGTGCATCTTCAATTACATAATTATCACTTTTTTGTCATCTTCAATCTACAAGTGACATAATTGTCATGTAATATGCTCTACACGTTACATAATTGTCACATTACTTTTTTATATTCTTTGATCTTATATCATAATTGTCACGTGTTGTATTCTACACGTTACATAATTGTCACTTTACTTTTTTATTGTCTTTGATCTTATATAACTATCACTTTTTTATTGTCGTCGTGTTTTGCCCTTATAATGTATTTTACTCTACTATAACCTTTTTGTTATCTTTAATCTTGTAAAAGTCACTTTTTGTTATTTTCGATCCTTGTCTCATGTTTTGTTCTGGTGATAACCATTAATAATCACTTCCAATAATTTCTTATACTTTGAAATACAATAATTCAACTTTCTTTCGGGTAAAAACTCACCTCTTTTTTGAATAATTTTGGCATTTTTTAGTTTAAAATTTATGACTTCGTAAAATTCCTCGATACATAATTTTATTTCCTTCTATAATTATTTTAACTTGTACTAGCAGCTTATTAGTGTTACCTGATGCAATAATCCATACAGATCAAACTTGAGCCACACTCGTATTATTGACGGAAATATGTTAATTGCCAAATCGTTTCCAAAGAGAACAGAGACAGGCAAAAAGGATACGAGTTCAAAAAGAACAGGCACTACCATGTAGAGAAAAATTATGAGTAACAGAGAAATGACAATGAATTAACAATAAACCGCATACCAGCCTCCGCCATTACGCCCCACAACCATATTCAACTATTTACTTACAATTTCACCATTGCTCACATGTTCAATACGGAAAAGATAAGTCTGATACACGAACATAGTCAAACATAAAGAGTCAGAAACATGACTAGCAACTATAGATTAGGCACATGACATATATTTCATTGAGATTTCAAAAGCTACTCATTCAAAAGCCCATTGGTTTTCCCGACGAACTTCATCCTCTTCCTCAGGGGTGAAGTCATTCTTAATATTAAATGTCTTGCGTATTTCCTCTGGAGTCTTCCCTTTGATCATGTCTGCCACAGTCTGGCAAGTAAGGTCCAAAAGGGTCTTGATGTTCAAGTAGTTTGCAGCCTGAAAAGGAAATTTTCACAATACATAGCAATGTCACAGCCTTATCATTATACACAGTAAACAAGAGATTTAAATTTGCAGATACACACCACAGCAATTTTAAGATAATTAATACATATTGCAAAACAGGCATGAAAATGGAATACTATTACACCATTCGATGCAAACTGGCAGAGACCACTACAACCAAAACAGTTGTCATCATGGGCAATTTTAATGCTACTTCCATATCAGGCATATTAGTGGAAATCCAATGAACAGGGAGGAATAAGGAACAGAAAGGCATCAAGCATTTAAATAATGTGGTTTTCATGAAATATAGACAATATAAACACAGATCCATAATCAACAATGGATTCCTTACACTTGAATTTGCCTGAACACGAGTATACATATTCTTAAATTCACAAGGCACTTGTAAATTAATAAAACAATACGTCCAATGCTCACTGCAGAAGATTATCTTATCCAGCAAACGATTATATCAAAAGAAACAGAAATCTCGTGTTCAGAATCAATTTCAATCCTATCATAAAATCTGACAAAAACGCCGGATTCTCTCAGGTTTGTAGCAGAAACCAGAGGACGAGTTTCATTTCACTTAAACAAAAAGTGTTTAAAATTTGCATGAGTTCCGTTTGCTTAAGAAAATATAAGGGAATTTACTCGAAGGTCCAACTTCAGTCACCCAGTTCCCGCAAGAGTGGGAGAGAATATAAACCCAGTTCCCGCCGGCGTTTTAAATAGAAATGCGGTGACCTTGGTAAGGAGTTTGCCATATCGGTGTCAGACGTGTTGGATGTCTCCAACACGGATATGTCTAATATGTTATGATGAATAAGCAAGATAAGCTTTGAGTTTGTATGTTTGAGATACTTTATTCTGTGATTGAAATATATTAACTTTTTTTAACATAACATGTACTAATTGTGTCACGTCCTGTTCTTATTTAAAATGCACCATGCTGTATCTCTGGTTGGGTCAGTACTGGCCAGATTCAAGAGTTTGAACGCAACATCAAGGTTTCGGGAGTCTCCAAATCCCCGATTGCGACTTCAATTGTAGTTTATCCACAATTTTCATAATGTCCAGCCAACCGCGACAGTTACTTAAAACCTTGTTTGAAATCAAGAATTCCTCTCGCAAGACGAAACCCAATCCATTGTGCTCAGTAAATCGAAACCCAATTTTCAAACAATCAAATCAAAACCCAAATCTCACAAAAAATAAATCAAAGAACCCACCGACACCAAATCCCCAATCTCAAAAACCCTAACCCCCAATCCGAAAACCAAAACATAAAAGAACAAAACAATTCAACGGCCAAATAATAAAAGAAGAAACACAAAAAAGAGAAAAACAACTCACCAGAATGAGATCGAAGAGCGTGGCCTGATCGACCTTGACAAAATCAGCGTCCCAGGCCTTGAGATCCTCTTCGGAGGGTTTCTCATCAGAATTATTGGCTTCAACGTGCTTCTTGCAGTACTCGATAACCTTCGCGAGGATTTTGCTGGTGACGTTGGGTAGAGGGATGTGGCTATCGGCGCAATCGTCTTCGATCATGTGTTTTATCGTCTGCGACTCCAACGCCACCGCTTCCTCGACCTCGAAGGCCTCACCGTCAGAACTCTTCAACGTGATCTTCTTCGTCGACGCCATGGCTCGACAATCCAAAATCCCTAATCCTAGTTTTGTATTAGCGATGAAAGTTTTGTAGAGAGTGTAGTCGTTGCTATATTTATAGCGCTACTAGAAGGTTGTTTTGTGTGCCCATAGGAACTGCGCTTTCTGCGTAACGTTGCGTGGCATTATCTTATTGGTTGCAGGCTTTTACATTTTAAGTAATATATTTGACTCTGTCATTCAGGATTTTCTAGATAAAAAGATTATGAAAATTTACTTAGTTACCCATCTATCCGTGATTTTCAGTTGTTCACTTTTAAAAATACAGTTTTATTTTAGTATTCACTCAAAGATACGTAATATTAATATATTAAATTTTGTAACAGAAAAATTTCCTACAAATTTTTATTGTATATCTTTAAAATGCATTAAAAGTATTTTGAAATTTTTTTAATTAATTAATGAATTTTATGTGATAAAAATATTTTAAATTAAAATAAAATTTAAAAATAAAATATATGCATTAATTTATTTATTAATAAAAAATTTATTTTTATTAGATAAGAACAAACTAAAAAAATTATTCCACTAAATACATAGATCAATTGGTACTAAATTGTTTTAATTTAAATTATAATCTTAAATTTGAGTTATAAGGTGAATTTTAAAATATTTGAACTTTTATTAATATAATAGATAAAAATGTCAAAATCAAAGATTAATAAGTAAATATAAGATAATTATCTATAAATATTCAAATTATAAAATAAAAATTATAATAAACAATAATATATTTTAAAATAATTTTATTTGCATGTTTAAATGTTAAATATCATACACTATTATTGACCTTATTATTATATTATATTATATTATATTATAAAAATAAGAGATATATAACGTATTTAGTAAGAAAATATTTTATTTGAGAGTATCAAGGCTAAATTTAAATTCTATAATTATATGATAATAATAAGATTAAAATTTTTTAAAATTATATAATTATTTTAAAAATAGATAATCATTAAAAAAAATTATTTATATATTTTAATATTAATTATTTTTAATAAAATTTAATAATTAAAGTTTGTCTTTCTCATTTTTATATAATTTTTTTTATTTTATATAAAAAAATATCATCTCCTTTGATATATGATAGATAATTTGCATGAGTTGTATTAATATTTAAAATGTATATATATTATCTATAGTTATTCACTCCATTTTGTTGAGGACAAAAGGGAACTTAAATTCAATAATAAGAATTTACAATGCTAGTGTTTTACATGTTTATTTATTTTTAAAAAATATATTACACAGGGCCTTAAAAGCCCAAAAACAACTAAAGCCTTAGATTATGTAACACTCTCATTTTTATTGTTTAAATTTTTACAAAATAGAAATTTTAGTGTAGGGTTTCTTACTCAAACGAGACAGAGTTTATGGGTCAGACACTCTCGGGCACTCTCACTCAAGCGAAATGAATCTCGCTCTAGCAAAAGAGGATAATATCACCCTGTAGAGATTAAGAGAGAAAGAGCATAGAGAGAGAGACAGATTAGTGCAATAGAATTGGATAATCTATAATATGTAGAGACTCTTATATTTATAAGGATATATATGTAACCTTACTAGGTCAAGCTTGTTATTATAATACTAAAATAAATCCTAATCCTAATACGTTTATTTTAACTATTCATAACACTCTCCCTCAAGCTAGAGCATATATATTAATCATGCCCAACTTGGTACAAATATAATTGCTATGCGTCCCATTTAAAGCTTTTTAAACACATTTACTAGTTAGTCATCTGTCCTAACATGAAAAATGAATATAAGCTTCTGCTGAACTTTTTCTCGAATAAAGTGATAGTATATCTCAATATGTTTCGTCTATTCATGGAAAACTGGATTTAAGGCAATGTGTATCGTTACTTAGTTGTTACCCCAAAGTTGCATAGACTTAGTGCTACCAAATCCTATCTCTTCCAACATATGTTTCAACCATATTAACTCACAAGTAGTCTGAGCCATCCTTCTGTATTCTGATTCCGCACTTGATCTCAAAACAATGTTTTGCTTCTTACTTTTCCATGAAATTAAATTACCTCCCAAGAATACACAGTATCCGGTAGTAGATTTTCTATCCATAGGTCCTGCCCAATCAGCAGCAGAAAATGCCTTTATTTGTGCATGTCCATGATCTTTTTACATAATTCCTTTTCCTGTTCCTTTCTTCAAATACTTCACAATGTGGATTAGTGCTTCCTAATGAGTATTCGTAGGAGATAACATAAACTGGCTAACAACATTCACTAGAAAAGCAATATTCGACCTTGTGACAGTCAAGTAATTTATCTTGCCTACTAATCTTCTGTATTTCTGTGGATCTACAAAAAAAAAAAACTCCATCTGATGTCATTTTCACTCTTGACTCCATAGGTGTTTCACATGGTTTACCTCCTTTTAGTCTGATCTCAGTCAATAAGTCTAAAACATATTTTCTCTGTGAAAGTAAGATTCCTTGCTTGTAGTACATGACTTCAATACCTAAGAAGTATTTCAGAATTCCTAAGTCTTTTGTCTAAAACTTAGTTTAAAGAAATTTTCTTAGGTTGCTAATTTCTTCTTTGTCGCTACCTGTAATAATAATATTATCAACATAAATAACAAGTAAAATACAACCGTGGTTAGTCTATTTGTAAAATAATATATGATCACTCTCACTCCTCACTAATCTAAATTTTAGAATCAGGTCACTGAATCTCCCAAACCATGCTCTAGGTGATTGTTTCAAGCCATATAATGACTTTTTTAAACGACATACTCTTCCACACTCCCCGTGAGCAACAAAGTCAGACGGTTGCTCGATGTACACCTCCTCCTGTAAGTCTCTATGTAAGAATACATTCTTGACATCTAGTTAGAATAATGGCCAATGATTAGGAATGGAAACAGGCCAGGCCGCCCATGCATTTTGTCTGTGTATGTGTGTTTTACAATAATCGTACGGTGGTACATAAGCAGATGTGACAAGTGATGCATCTACTTCTCATGCTAGAAGTTCTGGCTGAGGAATGTCAGAGTCATATACTTTTTGGAAGAATTATAGCTTTATTTATTTTGTTAGTTTAGGTCTTAGTAGTAGGACTAGACTAATTAGTTATGATTTTCAAATATAACTTTGATTATAACTTGTACTTTGAGCTCCATATCGAGCAACTCCAATGTAAATATTGCTAAAGGATAACTACATATGTTTTTATATATATGTATATATATATATATATATATATATATAATGAGGCTTTATTTTATTATTGAGACTTGAGGTCTTGTTTTATTTCTATTAATCATTTTAAGTTATGTTAGTGTTTTTTAAAAGCTTAAAATTTTTGCAGGTGTTAATTGGATGGTATATCATGGATTCTCTCCAAAAAGAGGCCGTAACATGAATGATAGTTTCAATATCATCCATACACCAAGAACAATAAGGAGAGTTAGCCATACCTCGACTACACCTCTCAACATTTGTTAATAACCTACCATGAGCAACTTTTCAAAGGAAAACTAAAATTTTTGGTGGACTCCCTAGTTCCAAACATACTTAAAAATATTATTATGATTATCCCCACTTTCGTTAGAAGATGACAAAAAAGTGATTGTTATGTAACTGAAGATGTACACGTAGTAAGAATTCATTGAAAGTGATTATTAATGGTTATCAACTGTGGTAGAGCAAAACACGTGACAAGAATCGAAAATAACAAAAAAGTGAAAGTTACAAGATAAAAGACGACGAAAAAGTGACAATTACAAGATTGAATACGACAAAAAAAATAAAGTGACAACAAAAAAAGAAGGTGACAGTTATGCAATGTGTAGAGCACAACACGTGATAAGGATTAAAGATGACAAAAAAGTGATAGTTACAAGATCAAAGATGTCAAAAAATTGATAGTTATGCAGAACAAGGAAGTTACGAAAGATGTGGAAGATGTGCAAAGCATCTTCGGTTGTAGAGCAAAACACGTGATCGAAGAAGAAAAAAAAGCGACAAAGAATATAAATTTTTAGTTATGTAAGAACGTTTATGTAGGACAACAAAGTTACAAAAGATGTGCAAAGCATCTTGAGCAAAACACGTGATCAAAGACGACAAAAAAAGATAACAAAAAAATGACAGTTATGCAACAAAAAAGTGCAGTTATGCAAGGAAAAATGTGCACATGGTAAGAAAGCAAAGTGACATTTATGCATACACAATATTTACGTAGAACAAGGAAGTTACGGAAGATATGTATGGGTAAGAAAGTAAAAATGACAGTTACGCAGAATAAGGAAGTTACGAAAGATGTACAAGTACGTGTTGAAAGAAGTTATGGAAGGTGTGCACCTAGGAAGAAAGAGAAGATTTAAAATTCAATCTCTAAATTGCTATGGAAATAAGAATCTCCAAATCGTTTTATAGATATTTAGAGGATAGACATAAAAGGAAGTAAAAATATAAATATTAAGAAATATTACTTTTTAATAGTTTGAAAAAATTGAGTTTATTTGTTTTAAGTTCTCAAAAAAATTGAAATTAAAATTTAACTTTTTTTTATTTTTAAGAAGTTATTGAGATATTTTCATAATATATTGTGATTATAATTTTAAAAACACAGTATGTGTGTCTTGAAAATTTGTAACACTATTGAAAAGTAGCTTTTATTTAACATCTCTTTTCATAAAAAAAAAATATTTCCATTAGTAGAATGTTTTTTAGAGGAGACAATCAGGTTATAGGCAAATTTAATGAAAAAGTTTTCATTACTAGAATGTTTCCAAAAAAAGAAAAAAAAAAGTCCTAACCCAAGCCCCAATAGAAGGAGAAATTTGAGACATGATTTCACATAAAGTAGCAAAAAGCATGGACCTATTTCTAGGCCAATCCCAACTATTTTGAGAAAGAAAACATAGCAATAGGCACATTTAATCATTCTCAGGAATAGGCTCTAGAGCATAATTAGAAAGATTCTAGTGATTATGAATCCAACTGTCCTCCTAAAATCTAATGACCAATTCATCTCCTAAAATCCACCCTAACCCTTTATAGAAGGAACTCCAAATAGACAACAAATTTTTCCATAAATGAGAATAATTTTGATTTGTACTAATGCAAAGGATTCTGCTAAATGCAAATTTATATTTCCTACATAAGACCTGGGCCTACAAGTCATTGGGAGAGGTTATAAACCTCCACTACAGTTTTATAACATAAGTATGGTTCACAAGACTAATATTCCTAAAACCTAAATCCCCTTTATCTTTAGGTTTACAAATCTTAATCCAACTAATTAAATGACATTTTCTGCTACCTAAAGGACCCCAAATGAACCTCTTATAGATAGTATCAATATCCTTGCAAACAAATTTAGAAATAATCAAAAGCTGCATAAAATAGGTAGGTATGCTAATAATATAAGATTGGGCTAGAAGGCTCTTCCTACCGTGGATAAAGACTTCATTTTCCACAATAAAACCTTTTTCTTAACTTTGTCCACTACAAAAGAACAATATTGTCTAAAAGGTTAGGATGGCCAATGGAAATACCCAAATATTTCCCAACCAAAGGAGCATGATTAATTCCTAAGCATAGGATAATTTTTCTAAGATATTACACTATCACAATTTTTAGTAAAGAAGACAAAAGACTTATCCTTATTAATTGATAGGCTAGAAACAAAACAAAATTCACTAACAGCATTACTAATCAAATTAGTATTATACCTATAAGCTTTAGCAACTAAGATTATGTCATCAACAAAAAAAATGATAAATCTTAGGTCCCTGATTACTAAAAGAGAATGGAGTCAAGTTCTCATTAAAAACTTTATCCTAAATTAGGTAAATCAATCTTTCTAAGTAAAGAACAAAAATGTAAGGAGATATAGGATCTCTCTACCTAATATCTTTATAAGATTTAAATTCTTCAAATCTACTAAATAAAATTATTATATTCATTTATAGTAGTTATATTTAACTCAATCTAACAAAATTTATATAATAAAAAATAAAATTTATAAAAATAATATATTTGAATTTACTAATTAAGAAGGAAGTGAAATTCATTATTTCTCATAAATATAAAACTATCATATTGAAACTAGCACTTGTGTATTTATGTGTTATTTGTGAATTATTTTCATATTTATTTTTTTTATTTTAAAAAATTATTAATTTAATTATATCATAATTTTTATTATATTTAATATTTTAATACAACATGTGGATCTTCATAATTATTAAAGTCAACATTTGTATCTTCATAATTATCAAAGTCTAGATTACAATCCTTGTAATAGGTTATGGATAAAAAACAATATGTGAAACATAAATATGTCAAGGGAAGTTATTAAATTCTTTCTTATAAATTACATTTTTAATGTATTTCACATACAATATGACCTATATAATAATAAAAAATTGCAATTCTCTTAAGTGTGTGTGATTTATGTACTTTTTTTTCCTCAAAAATTATATTTTCTGGAAATAAGAAAAATCTATTTAATATATTTTAAATATTCTTAAGAATATTATAAAATGATTTATATCAATATTTTTATATTGTATTTGGTTTGAATATTATTTCTTGACATTAGTTATAGGTTTTTTTAATAATATCTCTTTACTCTATGATAATTAATGATATTTATTCATACTATCAATTAATAACCATCTTCGTCAAAAACTACATTCATTAAAAATGATCATAACATACATTTTCTCTTTATGAGATTTTCTCAAATTTCTCCACATTCACTATCAAATTCATCTTCGTGATCTACTCCTTATTCATTCTTTGAAGTCACACTCACGTACAAGCTGCTATGGGCAATGGTGCAAATTCTCAATCAATCTCTTGTTCCTATGAAGTTAAACCTGATGCAACAAGTAACAACATGATGGAAAACAATGCAGGAAGGAAACAACATTTACGAGAAATAAATTCAAATGCAAATTCTCTCTCAAGGTTTTTTTTCTTTTTCTTTTTCTTTTTCATTCTCAAAATTTTTATTTTTTAAAACTGATTTCGTTTCATCTCAACAAGTGGAGCCCTAAGCTTGAACAAGGCTCTGAAAAATAGTCCAAATTTTAATGATGGTGATTTTCCAACAATGATTGTTTCTGACGATATAATATTTTTAAAAAAATAATAAATAAATAAATAAATAATTTAAAAAACATAAATAAAAAGAAAAACACGTACCACATTATATATAACTTTATTTTTATCATATAATTAATCATATATTATCATGACATCTCATTTATTATTTTTTTTATAGTAGACAATAAGAAGGACTATAATAAATACATATTAAAGATAATCAAAAATATTTTAAAATTTACTATTTTGAAATGTTTAATATTAACAATTTTAAAAATTAAATTATAATATTAAATTTATATAACTTAAATTTATTCATACGTGATTAGTAGCTTTATATAAAATGTAATTTTTACCGATTCAACCGTTAAATTATAATAATATTTTAGTTAAATTATCTGTGTTAAATTTGTCACAATTACAAGAATTTAATAAAATAGTCTTTATTTTTATAAATTTAAAATTATATATTACATTTATTTTAATAAATAAAAATAAGGTATTAATCAATTTTGAATTGATTTAAAATTTTGTAAATATTATATACATTATTAAAATTTTTAATTTAATCAATTTTTTAATTAAATTATCTAATAAAAATTGTTTAACAGTATAAGAATGAGTTTAAGTTTTATATATAACATTTTAGCACGTTATTGTTGAACCCACCCGAATTTAGACTAGGACACTCATGATATAAAAATATTTTATTTATTTAGAGGTTTTACCATCACAATCATTGTTGTTGCTATCACTGTTATCCTAATTATCACATCAATTGCCACCACTTTTTATCACAAGTCTATCTCTCTGCCATTATCACTACTATCATTAAACAAATTTAAATTGAGAAATAAAAAAATAATTGATAATATTTATTTTAAAATTTAGTTTTAAAATCTGAAAATTAAAAATCAAAATTTTAAAATTAAAAATTGTAAATCTGAAAACTAATTTTAGGTTTTAAAAATTTCAAGACTTAAAAATGATAGTCATACCGAACTGTGTCTCACCTCGTTACATTTTGTTTGGCACTATGAAACTATTTTTAGGAGAGAATATTTTCCACCTTTTTTAAAAAAATTTGAAAATTACAAAATAGACTAATATGCTTGTTTTGATATTTTTCCATGTACGAGCGACATCTTCCAACCAAATTTCAAAGTTTCTAGGAATTACCTTATTCTTCAAATGTATAGTATAACAATATCAATAAGAGCAAGGAAAGCGTGGCTGGATCCGTTAAACTCAATGAACTAGTAAAAGTGAATATACCACAATATATATATATATATATATATCATGGAAATATAAGCCAAAAAAACAAGAACTATTAAACCAGGAAAAGAAATATTAACATGATGCACCACCAGCTAAATCTAGAAGCTACATTTTTTGGGTACATAAACAGAAAACTACTTCACATTCAGATAAGTAAAGCCAGGTGGTGTGAGAATCAATATACATAGGTCCTGTGACAGTTCTAATAGCCAATTGCCTCGATTTGTTAATCAAGATTCCATGTACTGTGAGGGTGGAGGTCTTGTGTTGGTCTTCTCAGGACCTGCATTATGATTTAACAAAAAACACATATTACATGCAGTTGTTTGATCACCAATAATTAAGCATTATTTTTAGTGCTATAAAAAGCCAACAGAACATACCACAGTAAAATAGAAATTTATAATACCAAGCTAGATCCTATCCAATAGGTTTTGCCTAGAAAAGGAAAGACAAGTCCAATTCCTTAGATGTTGAGAAAGCTGAATGATTAAGTCATACCACAAACCCCACGGATATCCACTTCTCTCCATTCTTGCACAAGGGCACAGCAGCAACACATCAAATGAGAAAGAAAATCATCAATAAAGCCCCCCTGGCATAGAATGTCAATGGTCATCAAAATCCCAGAAAATGCAAAAACAAGTCTCCATGTAACACTAAATTCGAAAGAAAACTCAAACTTCAACAAATATAAGTTGCCTTGTAAATTGGACAATCAGGACGCACCAAAACAAATCACGGCATAAATTTCCATAAGAAAAGAAGAACAAAAGGCAATTTTACAGAATACTTAGATATACTAGGTAAAAGCTACTAGCTGGATCCTATCACCTAAAACAATGGTCTTTATTCCCCTCAGAGTAATATGAACATTTTTCTCACTATACAATGGAAAATGCTGCCTAAAAATGTTTTATTTGAATATTTATAATTACAAGGCATCAATAAGATGGCACCCAAGGTCATATTATGCGAAAAGAAGAAAGCATACCGTGATGTTCAACATCTTCCGAAGCTTCCTCCTAATGCAGCAAGTATAGCAACAGCAAGATAAAATTAATGAATATGCCATCAATTCATTACATGCTTCTGCAGAAGCTGAAAAACCACAAAATTGAAATTATAGCAGCACGATCTCAATTTTAAGTGGGGAAAACGAACGAAATAGATAGTGAAAACAATATAAAAGCACAAAATACTTGTGTGCACGAGCGCTTATATATAATCTAGGTTTATACAAGATAAGCTTATTTCAATATAAATATAAATATGAAGAATATTAAATAATGATTTTTATACGAAATTTTTAGATAAAGTGAATTTGGATCAATATTTTGTTAAATAATGTTGTTAATATTATTATACATAATAAGGTTATTTTGTTAGATAGATGATGATGAATTTGGTCAATATTTTTATATGATTTTAATATTCTATATTTATATAAAATTTTATTGAGTTGACAAATAACTACCTTATAACCTTAATATAACATTATGTAATATATTAACTACAGTATAAATTAAAATGCTTAATTATATATTACATATAAATTGATAAATAAAATATATTTTAATTTTGATTTTCTATTTTTATTTGTTGATTTATGTAAGTTTATATTAGTTGTTGATTGTGCTTAACTTTTAAACTAATTTTGTTTTTATACAGACTTCGGTAACAACTTCCATAGTATATCGTTTTACACTAATTTAGATATTGTCAAACGGTTAATATAAAACTTTAAAAATAATATTAAGTTTACGTAATAATAATATAAAGGGCTCATTACACTGATCTCTCTTGAAGTTAGAGTTAATTACGCTTACACTCTTCTTGATTAAAATATAATTACTCCATTACATAAAACTAATGTATATGACAAAAATTAATTAGGCCAGGGAGTGCAGATATTATGCTATCATAAAATTCAAGATATATCACCCCACTTCAGTCTTAGCTATATATAATAAAAGAAGGGTAGACAAGGCTTCTTGTTTCAGTTAATTTAAGGAAGTCAAGATTTTTAATTTTGTCACTATAGGTTCGGGCAAAGTCATGGCAACCAGAAAAGATAATTTTTACAGGTGAAGAAATATGATCTTATTATCAGTTTGATCAATTCAATTTCTAGCCTTGTTAGCAAAAACACGCAAAGTGAAACAATTCAGATCATTTTGATGCTAAAAAAATATGATTAATTCTACGGTACTCTGAAAAATGAGTAAGTATTTTATGCTCTTGTATACGTGGAACAATCATAATCATTAATTTTAGTAGTGAAGTTAGTGCTGTATTTGAAGAAGACATAAGAGTACCATAGCAAGCACCAGAAAACATTATAGCTCACTTACATATTGGCCTGTTAGCTGCAACAGTCGCAATCTTTGACAATGTCCCACAAGGAAAGAAAAATGTCTTCAAACCTGCAAGTCGAATTATCCACTTGTTAATTCAGATGAAAAGTACACAAGGATTGGAGAGCTTTGTTAAGATTTTTTTTTTTAACTTATTTTCTAGTTTCCAGTGCTGCTAAGAGAACCACCGATCCTCCTTTACTGTCTTTCTCTTCTCCCTCAATAACTTTGAAAAAAAAAAAAGGAACTTATTATGCTCATTGAAACTACATCTATTCAAATATTACAATTTAACACAAGGAAAATGTGAAAGAAATGCAGATCCAACAATTACCACCACTACTAGTCTCATTCAATCTTCACAGTGAAACACGTGTCCACCAACATAAATATTTCATGCACATCATGCAAGTTACCTCTATCTTATTCCTAAACTTCTCTTCAGATTCTCATGAACCTCAGCAAAGACATGCTGAGTATAACCACACAATAGTAGGTGGAGAATATATGCAAAAAAATAATAATAAAAACAACTACCAATCTTCACACTGGTACAAATTAATAGATATGTGAATTAGGGGTTTTTTTGTACCACTCTGATTAAAGTAATAAAGGGATGTGAAACACAACTGATGACTCAACGGAAAAGTAAAATGATGCCACTCTGGTTGATGAGGCTACAGATAGTGAGCCATAAATATACTTATAATAACACTCTTGGTCAAAAAAGAAACTATTGTATTATATCTTATCAAATTAAAGAAAATCAAATTAACAGCAGAGGAGAACATACAAAGAGAAGGTTCAGAACAACAAGCAAGTAAATCAGCATGCCAATCTTCCTGATGATATGAACCTCCAGTTGATAACCGGTCCTTTTCTGAAACTGATGATCTGTTTGAGCCCAGGAAAATGAAGCACCGTACTTCAATATAAGTTAGAAATAATATAGGTAAAAACAGCAATTTAAAAAAATTGACTGCATCTGCATGCCAACAAAACAAAAGGATGGAGGAAGCAGGACTGCAGGAGACTTAGCATTGTGTAAGCTGGTCAGAGTTATAACTAGGGGCAAACGTTGAGTCTTCCGAGAGGCCAGAGGTATAATGCTAAAACATCGTATAAACTACTATAATTTTGGTCAAGTAGTTTTCCAGAGTTTACCTAAGAGGAGTGATGAAATTACCTTGATTTGGAAAGAGTATCACTTTTTTGGTGATATTTTTCATCAGAAGAATGAGCTTTGTCGCTGTTGCCATTAGAGTAACTGTAGTTGCTGTACCCTACTGTCTTATGACTTTTTTCGGATGAACACTTCTCTGGAAGATAATGAGCTGCAACTTCTGTCACATCCAATAAATGTTGAATAAATTCATACTGATTTATATCCATATTTGCTTGTGAATGTTGTAGCTCCACTTGAAGCTTTTCATTTTCTTTTTTAAGTGCTTCGGTGAAAGAAAAGCTGGGGTAAGAACAGGAAAGTGTTTTCTTCAGCACCACAGCATCTCCTTTGTCAGGCTCAGGTTTCATAATAACAGTCTGCCCTTTTTGTTCCTCGTCATCCAAAGTATACTCACATTGATCCTTTTCAATAACTTCAAGTCTGTCCTGAATATTCCAAATAAGCAAGAGATTGTTTGTATAGTATTCAGATCAAATTTATAAACACCAAAGTCTGTATGAAAGTTACTACAAAAAGCAGATCAGTCTTTGGAAAGGTTCAGAAATTTGCAAATTCTAATTAGTCCAAAAGAAAAATGCTGCAACTTGTGGGCAACACCATCATACATACTCACAAACATGAGGAAAAGGAACTGGGATTTCACTATATGCTTAAATTACAAGTTAGAACTTGACTACTGACTTTTATATACGATGCTTATTAAAAAGACAACTAGGGCTATGATAGGATGGAACAGAATGGACTGAAAGGAAATGGATGAGAAAGCCTATTTTAAACACTTATAAGCCTTCCCCAACCCCTTTATTCTCTTTTATCCATATAAATCCTTCAGTAAAACTAACAACCAATTCTATCTAAATTTAAAAATTGATGCAGCTATGCCATATCAATAACCCTGATGTTGACTAATGAGTTGAGAGTTCTACATTAAGTCAAACGCCACCTTATCTTCATAGCATGTAATGAAACGTAGCATCAGGGGATAAAGTTGTGAATCTACATGGACGGAAGAGACATAATTCATCTTTACATATGAATCTCGGCAACCTCAGCAAAATCCCAACCAAAGACATATTCATCCTTCGGACTCTCAGGCTAGGCTGGTTCAGGCACCTGTCTGTGTGCTAGTCCTACCACCGGGAACCTTTTGTGAACATTTCCCATTTCAATCTTTGATATACTCAAACTAACATTGCTCAATAGACTTCTAAAGAAGCTGGCAATAACCTTCAACAAATGTTTTAAATCAGCCAAAAAGTTGAATTTATTCTTTATAGCTTTTGCCAAAGGACCCCTGAATCATATCCCTAGGAAGTAATTAAATTTCCTCCAAAAATAAATTCATGGCTAACTAGCAAAGCTGATTTATGTAAACAATACACATTTGAAATAACCTTTGCATGATTGATCAATGGCAACTAAGATGTTCAAAGAATAACTCCAATGATTTTTTAGTAATACCACAACCTATTTCCTCTTTTTCCCCGCTAAACTCGCAGGGAATCAATACTCAAAAACCAATTATCACAGCAAAGGATAGCAGAAGCAGATACCCTGACTCGAGCATTGTCGACTAGAGTGATGAGAGGAACAAGGCGCAAGTATCTATCAATTTCATTCTGAGCCTTCCTGAATTGATAAACAATGTTCCATCCCATGGCCAGCAAATAAAGATAGCTGCGGTCTTGACAACTATTAACCAAAATGTAAGACCTTCTGAGAGCATCTTCTAGCTGCTCCAAAGGCTCCCGTGTTTCGGGGTACCTCATTAGCTCCGAGATCTTGAGCTGCTCCAGCAAGTTCCCTATCAATTTCAGATGCTGTGCAAACTGCCTGCAGTTCTTCTTGTGCATCCGTGCCGTATTTGCAGCTTTTACAATCATTCCAATTAACCTCACAGCATCTATACCCGTTAGCTGGGCCACATTTGCAAGCTCCCCAAAATGTTCCCATGAGGATGCCATGCTCTCTGCAAATCAGCCTAAAATGCCCATCTAATCAGTTCACAGCTCCAAACATTTAAAACAGAAAATGCATTTGTAATCCATGATTTAATCAGAAAAATAGGAAAAAGAGAAATGCATATGATTCCCCCACAGAGGAAGGCATAAAAAAAAAAAAACATTTTAGACTTTAGAATATGCCAGAGTTCATTTTACCTTTGATTATGCAAATAATACCATTGAAATCTTCTCCTGCATGGTGTTCTCACTTTCCAGTGACATCATTGTCCTTCAAGCAAGATCCTGGGTTTTCTGAGATTAAAAAAAATGAGAAAACAAAACCAAACAAAACCTGTTCAGATATTTTCACAAGAAATAGAAAAACAGCAGCTCGGTTATCCGTTAAGAAACCTGATAGAATGTTCAATGCTTCATGTTCACAATACGTAACGGAATCACGGAACACTTGTGCTTTAAACAAATATAGCAAAAACACTGTTTTAAAAAACTCACAAGCTACGTTACGCAACAGCGACAAAATCAGGGGAAAAAGCGAACATAAGACATTGCTTTGCGCGAAGGACCTTTTGTTGTTGTGTGGAAGAAACAAACAGAAACGTCCAATAAACTGTTTTTTTTCTTGGTAAGGTTTCGATTCGGTGTTGTTTTGTACAGAGAAGAGTGTGAGTGCTTCTGTTCTGTCTGTTGCCCAACGTGGTGGCCCAGCTACATCCAAACGCAATTACGCAACTGCCCTTTCTCTCTACCATCCCTTATAACTTGATGGACAACGATACTGAAAACGGAAAAAGTGTTGTTGTGTTTGGTTTCTTATGTTTGTAACTTGATTAAAGCAGAAAACTTACAAACTAATCCAAATAGAGTGTTAAGATAGCTGGTAGTTGACACCGACGTGGAACCAATGTGCGTGAATGAGGAGCAGATTTCTGTTCTGAGGCAGCCAAAAGGTGACCAGTGCCAAGCCACCTACCTCACTTCACCTCGCCATGTCCCCAAAATATGTTCTTAAGGGTCCACTTTCCTGATTTTTAATGTAATTCAGTATCACTAATGACTTGTAGTATTAATTTTATTTTTAAGAACACGGGTATTTTTTTTCACTTGGGCAATTCTGTTAAAGATGAATATGATCACAAGTCAAGTAAGATTATAATAAATAGTAAAAATTCAGTAAATTAAATATTTTTATTATTTTTTCAATCTAATTTAATTTGAATTTATCTTAAATAGTACGCTTAAATGAGCTGAGTGAATCTATTATTAAAAGATTTTTTACATACAAAAATTATTCACTGCTTCTCACTCAAATCAATATCTGTTAATAAATAACTTTATTAGTTTATTTACATGTTATAATTTTTTTGTAGAATCTAATTTAATAAAAATAAATCATTAATTATTTTAATGTTGTTGTTTAATTTTAATCCACTCAATGTAAAAAAAATTCACCATCAATGAACTAAAATATATCATAAATATAATTTTTATATTAATTATTATAATTATCAAAAATAAAAAATCTTGCTAATATTATAATTCATAATTAAATAATAGTACATGAGTATCCAAATACCATTTATTAGGAGTAAAGAAAGAGAAGTGGGTTGGATTAGAGGGTACGAGTTGAGATGGATATGAAAGAGGAACTTTTCACCAACCAGACCTACCTTTAAGGATAAATTATGAATAACATTGACCAATTACAAACACGTAATATTTAACATGGAATACTTCCTTTAAGGTGATTTCTTAATGTTATAACTTCGCGTGAAAAGAAGGGTTACTGTAAAACTAAATATCATAAACAAATACGTCTATTATAACATTAGTGACCTTTTTAACAATATTTTATCTATTTTTTATGCAATCTTACCTCATTGAAAATGAACATAGAGAATCAGTAAGGTATTTTTCTCTTTTATTAAAAAAAATAATACTTAAATTGCACTTATAAAATATACAATCTCCTTCTTTTAGAGACAAATATAAGTTCTAAATTATTTTTTTAATATAAGTAAGTATCTTAATGATTATATATCATTATGAATGTATTTATTAATAATGTTATATGTTTTTGTATAACTTTAAACATCGTCACTAGCAACTTGTTTTAAGATCATTTATTGATTTTTAATATTTTAATAGGTAGATTTAAATTTTAAATATCACTATTGTTTTATTTAAATTTTCTGTTTTATATTTTAAAATAATAAAGTTAATAAAAAATACTTAAAACATCGTCAATTATATTATGCAAAGAATTCTAGCAAAATAAATCTAAAAAATATTAATCTTCTAGATTTTTAATCTAAATTATTTGTATTTTTTGAACTTTTAAGTCCCGTTTAGTAGAAAAAGATCTTAAAAAATTATTTAATTAAATTAAATTAGAATATAACTTGTGTCTATTTTTCAGCAAAAAGAAAAGTATATATTTTAAAATAGGTTTTGCTAACTAGTGATTTAAAAATATCACTGAAATTATTGTATACTACACAATTATTATTAAATTAAAACAGATTTTAAATAAAAATAAAATTATATCATATAAATATTTTTAAATTTAATAATTTAAAGTATATATTTATATTTCAATAATTAATATTTTATTATACAAATAGAAGTAAATTATTTTAAAAATTATTAAAAATTCCAAACTTTAAAATAAGTCACATGATGTAGTGAGAGAAAAATTACAGCTCCTAAAATTGTTCTCATTTAAAATAGCTAATGAAAATGATCAAAAATGATGTCTCATGTTTAATTTAGTTGTGTTTGTTTGGTTAAAGAATAATAAACAGTATTTTTTTAATTAAAAATACATTAAAAGCGTATTGAAAATAATGGCATAATGATAATTTTTAAGTTTAATTATATTTTTATTTTTAAATTTTAAACTTTTTAATTTTAATTGTTCATATATATTTTTTATTGTTTTCATTTTTTTAATTAATTCTCCTGTCCATCAATTTTATCTACTAATTAATATAATATAATAAATTAATTATTTATATAATTAAAAAGGAAAATAAAATAATTGAAAAATATGATATTTTATATATTTCATTTGCTATTTTTATTCAAATATTTTATGTATTCATTATTTAATAATTGTACAAATAATAATATATCACACTTGTATTATACTTTTGTTAAATATTAAATTATATTTTTGAGTTGTACGCCTTGATTTGAATAACTAAAAAATTTAAACTTAAGAAATTAAAATTAAAATTTTCAAAATTACATATAAATTGACATATAAAAATATTAAAAGTATAATTTAATTTATTTTTAATGAAAAATACTAAAGAAAATGTAACTTGAACGTCATTTGTGTGAATTCTATCTGGCAACTTTGCTGCGGACCTACCGCGATACGAGCATGATGACGAGTGCATGTACATTCAATGCCACGTGGCATTCATCCTTTTATGTCTTTTTCTCTCTCACAGTCACAGCTCAACCAATATCATTTTGTCCCTCACACTGCAACACCCGTGTGTCATGTGCTTAGCATAACTTTCTTCTGCATCTGTTATTGAAAAATTTGTTAAAATTTAAGTTTAGAATTTTTATATAAATATTTTTACATCTTTATCATTAATATTTTAATTTCTGTTATTATAATTACAGCACATGTCAAGTTGTAATAAAAATACTCATATAAAATTAAAATATAACTTTTTAAATATAAAGAGTAATTTGTAAATAAGTATCAATTTTAAAAATTAAATATGTATTTTAATTAATTATAATTTTTAAAAATATTAAGCATCAAATTTAATTAAAAATATATATTAAATTAAATATTATTCCCAGAGAACATTCAATACTTATCAGATAAAAAAAAATTACTTTATTTTATAATTTAATTATTGATTTTAAAAATATTATCTCTTTAATTTAATTTTATTAACATAATAAGATATTATTAGCGATGATAAAAATATTTACTCTTATTTAATCTATACAGTTTGTTAAATTAAATTTTTTAACTTAATAATTGTTATAATATAGGATTCATAACTACCATTTTCGTTAGATAAAATTTTTTTATTCAATAGATAAAGTTTTTGTATAACATTTTGCGAGGCAACGGTCCATACCAAGCAGGCCTAAACCCAAAAAAATTGTGCCCACTTAGTATAGTTTTTTAGTTTAAAAAAAAGTACACCAACCAAATTTTATGTTCTAAATGAAAATTTACTGTACGAAAAAGTAAATTATTCATAGACTTATTTTATTTCACAATTTATTTAATATATATTTTTTAGTGAAAAGATACACTAGTCAAATATATTATAAAAAATATATATTATATAAAAAGTAGAGCATTTAGAGCTATTTCATCTTTCAATATACTTAATATAACTTTTTTAGTGAAAAGATGCACTAATTCTATATTATAAATAAAAATCTGTTATATGAAAAATGGAGTATTTATGGAGCTATTCTTTTTTATAATTTATCATGTATATATTTTAAAATTAAAATTAATAAAAAATGATGTGTAAATTACACACTCTACTATTGTAATAACTTTACTTTTTATTCATATTTTTATTAATTGCGTTCTAAATTTTACTTATATGTATGGTTCTCTTTAAATCATACTCTATTTGACATGATGATCAATTTTATGTTTTGAAATTTTTAAAATATAAAATTAATTTTAATTATATAATTTTTAGTTTTAACTTTTTTATTTTTAAATTTTAAATTCAAATAATACTTGGTGGTAATTATTGTATGTTTTTTATGAGATTTTAGAGTTGAATATTTTTTTTACATCTAGAATACAGAGCCTTATTTCAGAGTTATTAATTTTAAGTTTAAGAACTTTTATAAACTAAAATTAATTTTTAATTTTGTAATTTTAATTGTTAAATTACATAAATTACTTTTTTTTAATCTAAATTTATTTGTTCATAGAATGACAATGGAGACAAGAAACAAGAGAGGGACATGACAATAAAAATAACAAACTACTTGTGGTAATGAAACAAAATAATGATAATTATGGTAATAAAAGTGTAGCAGTGATGAAGAATAATTTAGTAGTAGTAACAATGACTTAATAATAATATTGATAGTGATATAGTCACAATTAAATGACTCAAATTATGATAATTATTAATGTAACAATGATAATGGTGATAGTTGTAATGATAATATTAACAACAACTATTAAAAATAACAAATGTTATGATGCTAACAGTAACGATATAGTAACAATACATGTGATAACTAAAGTGGTGACGATAATAATAATTATTAATTAGTAAAGATAATAATTATAACATTAATTGATATGGTGGAGACAATGTCAACAAAAGCAATATAAGTGGTAATTATTATGTCTCTTTTTAGAAGAGATGAGAGGTAAATGATTTATTTTTACAATTAGATCTAATTTTATTTTTTTTAAATTAAGGTAAAACTATTTTTAAAATGAATAAAAAAATTTAATTATATTTTCGCTCAACATGTTTTCATTTAAAATTTACATTTAAAAACAGAGCAATCTTAAAACCCATAATAATCTTGAACATGACCTAACACTATTTTATGTTATTTTAAAAAT